AGAGAACAGAAGTTAGAGAGAAATCAAAATCATTTTCCATCAAAAGGGCATAGACCTGTTATATAGCTTTGGAAATGGATTTTAAATTAACCTATAAAAAAGGTAGTAAATATCTGCAGGAAATGAGAATAATAAGGATGTGTTTTCTTGAAAGTCCCTGTGAAGAGCACATTTCTTCAAGGTTCCTGGCTTCTCTCCCTCTAGCTGCTCCTGACTCAGATGACGTTGCTCTCTATGTCGGGATCGTCATAGCCGTGATTGTGTGCCTCGCTATTTCTGTGGTCGTGGCCCTGTTTGTCTATCGCAAGAACCACCGTGACTTTGAGTCAGATATTATCGACTCCTCAGCGCTAAATGGAGGATTTCAGCCTGTTAACATCAAGGCTGCACGGCAAGGTGAGTTGTCATTTCACTCCATGTTGACCAATTCAGGGGGATGCTGTAAGATTATGGTCTCTTGGGCTGCATGAATGATACTCACTGGATGCTTGTTGGCACTTGATAAAAGGGAGAAAGATTGTATTCATTTGTGTCTGATGGTCAAGTGCTCAAAACCCACACTGCCATTTTTCAGATGTGCTCAAGAGCCTAAAGCAGAAGAATTTCACTTCTGAAGAGACAGTGTGAGTGCGAGAGTGAAACACAGAGACATTTATGAAAATACAGGTCCAGCTCAAATTTAAATCAAAGGCATAGCTCTGACAGAAACAACGGAGGCAGGATTCATCACAGGAGTGATATTGCAGTACAGTAATTCTATCACATCTTCCTCCCCTTTGTTTCACTAATAGCCTTTTTTTACTGTACCCTGTCTCCACAGGAGTAAATAGTAGTTTAAAAGTACTGTACTTTCAATAGACAACATAGAAGAAGAAGTTGCGGTAGCACATCATTTAATAATGATGAATTTTGTCACTGGTGCATAACAACTTGATTATTTCCACACTTCATTGGCCAGGAAAAAAACACTCTAAAGGTAGTGGTGGCTTTTTCAAGACCCATATTTAGGCTGAAGAGTTCCTCTTTTTTTCCTAATATGTGTGTAAGAAGAATAAATCAGAGTTAAGATGACAAAAGAGTTGTTACGTAGGAGATTAGCAGAAGTGTGATTTTCTTTGCTGAAGATACTTTTAAAACAAATCTCCAAAAAGTGTGATGCAGCTACTAATCCCTCACTGCAGGGAGTTGTTGGCATGATGACTTAATAGATTAGTTCTGTCTTTTATTTCAGAAATGCTGTCGTTAGGCCAATTAGATAAATTGGTAAGCAATTGTCACTTAGCATTTAGGGAGGTGGTATTAGTTAATAAAACTAGATCTACTGAGTAAGGAAAACATCTTGCCCTGAAGCTAAGCATGTCATACTTGAAATCTGAGTGGAGCCTGGAAAAATAATCCTAGTGAAAAATCTTTAGAGTAGAAACATGTTGTAATTTTGTATGACAATTAGATTCCCTAGCAGTTGGGGGCAATACAGGCCGTGGGAGTTTGCTGGAGAGATGCATGGAAAAGCAAATGAAGGTCAGTCTGCAAGGACTTTGCGTATCTTAAGCTTTGGTATGAAAGGCAAAATGTAAAACGCAGAATGCAACCCAAATTGTTACCCAGATGAAAGTCATCAGAATAGAGAAGTAATATGGTTCTTCCTTCTCATCTCCAATGCAGACCTCCTTGCAGTGCCACCAGACCTCACTTCTGCTGCAGCCATGTACAGGGGTCCTGTTTATGCCTTGCATGATGTCTCTGATAAAATCCCAATGACCAATTCTCCGATCCTGGACCCTCTGCCCAACCTGAAGATCAAGGTTTATAACACCTCGGGCGCAGTTACTCCCCAGGATGACCTCTCTGACTTCTCCTCCAAGCTGTCCCCGCAGATTACACAGTCCCTGCTGGAGAATGAGACCCTGAACATGAAGAACCAGAGCCTTGCTCGACAAACAGACCCATCGTGCACTGCATTTGGGACCTTCAACTCTTTAGGAGGTCACCTAGTAATTCCCAATTCAGGTAAGTGCTAGCCATGTTGACTTAAAGGCTCGATTGTTTTGTGGTTTTAAGTGGAGTTAGCTTGCTTTTATGCAGGAAAAAACAGGGTCACTCCTGGGACTCTGGCTTTTCTTTGTTCAGAACAAACAGGTGTTTTTTTCCCCCCATTCAGGTCTACCACGGTACTTCAACTATTCTTTTCCCAAAGTCCTGGCTACCTTTTTAACAGAATATCGCAGGGCTCTTAGCCACTTTCTGAGACATGTGAGGCTTCAGAGCTTCCCTGTGTGAAGTGCGATTCAACATCCTTGACCTTTTCTTTTCATGCAGCTCTAGAAAAGGAACTCCAAGCCAGAAAGCCTAAATCACACATAAAAAGGACAAATTAATTAAAAAACAAATTGGTTGTTCCACTTCCAATTCATTGCAGACTGTGTGGTATTGAAGTAAGACAGCAGAATACTAATTTTTGGAAGGCTTTTTCTCCTGCACACTTTACATACCCACGGAAAATAAGGCCCCAGAGTGTCTTTTGTATTTTTCTCTCCTTCTTATATGTATTGTTGACTTGTTTTACAACTAGGAAAGAGGGGGACCAAGCAGCCAGTGCCTTTTGATGGAACTGCAAAGTGCTGTTCAAATCTTTCTCATGTGGTATGAGGCCAGGCTACTGGGCCCACCCAGGCACCAGGAGGCATTTTCAGAGCATCCAGGGGGCTCCTGGGCAGTTTGGGAGAGCTTGGCTCTCGCAGATGGATTTTTTAGGAGAGCTATACTGCTGTTTGGTTCCTAAACAAAATGTTGATGTTCAGAAGAAGTTCAGCACCTAGATGTTCCTGAGGGAACATGCTAATCAAGAGTAATATTAACATCTGAAGTGAGGTTGAATCAAATGCACAAAACACTGCATGTGGGGGGTATTCAGGCTACACAGTGGCCAGGAGTCTTCCTGGCCAGTTTCTCTGGAGCTCTTTGTCATTTTACAATGCCCTGACTGAGGAGAAAAGTGCCTACCCTTGTCTCTTGCTCGTTTGCTGGATCTTTTCTTGTTTGTTGATGTTATGGAGAAAGCAAAATGCCTAGGTGGCCCAGGGTGCAGCACCACACTGCCCAGAAAGCAGCCAAAAGTGGTCTGTGAGCAGTAGCCCTCCTCTCTGATCTACTGTGGAGCAGGGGACAAAAACAGCTATTAAATTTAAGAGCCTGAGTGAAAGCTGAACTGCTTAAAGAAATTTGGTACTACAATTCATGCTATACAGACCTGTAGTTCACAGTTCTCTAAGTAGCAGCTGAAGGTAGATATTAATACTCAGGTTTCTTATGCTATGGTGGTGCATGTTGTCAGCAAAGTCTATTAGTCATATTTAATTCAAATAAATTAATATCAATTTGTAAAGAAAAATGATTATTTATTGCTGTAATGCCTTCAAAATTATTAAAATAAATTTTGTAAAATATATCAATCTGTCTACCACTACCATGTATGCCTCTGTGGAGCTTCTAGACCTATGTATATCCTTCTAGTAATATGATCAAAGCCATTTATTTATGCTGCACCTGCGCTGTTACAGCAGAGAACATGCACAGGTGAGGTTGTAACAGGCCTGTAAAGAAACAAGTCTCAGAAGACATTAGTGGAAAATGCTTTCCTGCCTAATCCCTCCCCTTCAAAGCCAGGTATGGAACTGAGCCCCTGTACACCAACACATGGGAGGTCTCCAGCGTAACCAAACCACACATGCTACAGAAAAGAGACAGGGCCATACAAGTTTTCTATAAAGCCTCTCTTGTACATATGCAGAAATGTAAATAATCTGCCCATAGATTTCTCTTCAGCTATGCAGTAATAAATGTATTAAAATCCTTGCCATGATTCCCAGCTAATCCACATCTGAAAAGACAGCTGGCTGAGACATGTCCAGCATAGTGAAATGGCTGATTTGTGTGCCGTGTTCATCATGTGATGAGAGGATGCTCTCTTTTCTGGGGAGTCACTTGCTACATTTCTGAAATTGCAGTAATATGAGAACGGTGTTTTGTAATCAAGACTGCAGCTAATCATCACTGAAAAGGGCACAGAGCACATTTGCCCACATTTTTTCAAGGTTGGATACCCAAATTTTTGAGCCAGTCTACAGGACTAAGCACATTCAAAATACCATGAAGCCTAGTTTTGTCTCCCTGGTAGTCTAATTAGAAGCTGAGTGCATTAAAAGACAGGATGCCAGTCGCAGGAGCCATCTTTCAGGAAACAACTAGTTCTTGTTGCTTCCTGGGACAGTGCTCCATTACTTTTCTTTCCTGATTTTAATTAAGAATTGCCTAGGGAGAGATGCCCCGTTACAGCTGTTGGAAATTTTAGTCAGAATCGTTCATTTTTCCATCATTTTAAAAGGTAAGCAGCAGTGTAACCATCTGTCTGCTCTTTAAGTAAAATAAAAGGGAAGGGAAGAAAATCCTCTTCTCTACATCCATATTTCAGTGCTGATGTACAAGAGGAATAAGAACAGACCAGCTGACCACCGGGGATGCCAGGGTTGCAGTAAATACTTTTTCTCTCGAGTTGCTGTGGTCATTTAGAGTCTGCTGGCGAGGCTGGGTGAAAATCTGGCATCACAGCCTTCATCTTCTGCCTCTCCTGTCACTCCTCTTCACAGCCTCACTTGCCTTTTTTTCCTCTATTTTATCTTTTGTGTCTCTTCTGTTCTGCAGGAGTAAGTTTGCTGATCCCAGCGGGGGCCGTTCCACAAGGGAGAGTCTATGAAATGTATGTGACAGTTCATAGGAAGGAGAACATGAGGTAAAAGACTGCCTTTATTTGCTTGTGCATTAACGGAGGGGGAAAATGTAGTAACTAAAGACCTGTGGTAATATACTTATATAAAGCCTATTGTGTAGAAGCTATTTGCTGACTTGGAGGTAAATGTGAGCAAAGCCGAGGATAAACTTTACCACAAAACCAACTCAGATTTTTGCTTTTCTAACCAAGAGTTGCACTCTGCAGCAAGCCCTCAGGCTGGGGGGGATGCCGACTCATAGCCAGAAGCAAGCAAAATGTGCCAACATGAGTTTGATGTGGCAGAGAAGGTGTGAGGTAATGTCTTAATAAAGACTCATGCTGCAAAAGAGAAGGGAGCAGAGGAGCAAGGTGACGAATCAGCTCAGCAGAGGGACAGATGCCTGAGCACCTGGCTTGGAAAATCTCGTTTTCTGTTATAACAAGGCTGAATTTTTATTTTACCCTTCATGGGTTTGGCTAGTGCATGCAGTGATAAGGATGGAACCAAAGCTTTTGATGTCCTTCACCCCTCCTTGCTCCAAAGTAGAAGTAAGCAGGTATTTGTCCAGCTCAGCCCCAGGTACTCCACACTGAGGCCCACCCAGAGCCAAGGTTGGGATGACCCCTGTTGTTCTCACCTGTTATCTGCATGTGTGGCCAATTCATGTTCTAGATTTTAACAGGTACTGAGTGATCAGTACAGCTTTGGCATTAAAAAAAGAGTTTCCAAAAAGGCCAAGGAATCATTTGAAGCAGTTTAGAAAAATCTAATGAAGAGAAAAGTGAGATCTTAGTCTGCAAAATGGACTCATGTGCACAAAGGTTGAATGGCAAATGTGAATCTAAGCAATCATTACACGGTACTTTGCCTCTTTCCTCTCCTCATAGCTAGATACATTTTTTGGCTCAACCCCTTAATGGCTTTTATTATGTGCTAAGCCACAGCTGTTTATACACTGTGTGATATTGAACACTATTCTTTAGCTTAGTAGTCTTTCACCCATGCTAAAATAATCTGCTTAAAGAAAAAATCAGTAACTCCCTACCCACCCTTTTGCATGCATTATTCATCGCCTCCTCTTTGAAAATAGCTAATTGCAGCTACAGAAAAAGTGTCTCTGTTCATATCTCGTATCGATTGTATTCCTGTTACTTTTGGCTGTGTTTTAAAGACACTTCTAGACAGCAATGAAAAAGGATTCTTTCCGGCAGAAGAAAAAGCAAATTAAAATCAGAGGCCATTCCCTGTTATTCATCTTGCCTCCAAATCTCCCATTTTAAAATATCTAATTATTAAAAATCATAGAATCATAGAATGGTT